GGATTCGAGATACGTCAAGCGTATCTAGCTAAGCCTTTTGTCCGTGCCAAAACCGCTAGGAGGAGTAGGGCAAGGGATTTAAAGAACATGCCAAAAGATTTGCAGCCGGTCTATGCTACGGAAGACGTACGAATAGAAGCTGGGAAAGTGAAAATGGTTAGAGTGACAGGTGCCATCAAAGAAAGAAAAGATTGGCTTGTGGAAAGAGTCATAGTAGGAACGGACTCCACCGACATATTAGCCGCGCCCTTTATGTGGATTACTTCGGACAACCCTCTCCTGCCAGTAGCAAACCCGGGAACAAGACCATTATATGTAAGGAAAGGCGAGATCCTGGGAAGGTTAGCAGACCCTTCAGCGTATCTAGACCACCCAGATGAAGATACGTTACCCAAGTACGTAGCATCCGCTGAAACTATCCGGGCAGTCATAACAGGAACCTTACGAGAGCAAGACCTGGGCAAGGCCAACAATCCCCCTCCCATAGTTTCGGATGACAAATTGGAGGGAGACGAGAATTGGGGGCCTAAGACTACGGCCGTGCCAGAGGATCCAACTTATGGGCCAGTGTCAGAACTAGTCAATCTTGGGCCCGATATCCCCGCGGATATACTGCCAAGGTTAGAGGAAGTACTACAGAAGAACGCAGAAGCGTTTGGCGTGGATGGCAGATTGGGACATGTAGACGCTAAGGTGTCAATCCCTCTTCATCCAGGTACAAAGCCTACCTCCTTACCCATGTACGGGGCATCCCCCGCGAAGTCATTGATCAGCAGGTTAAAGCTTGGTTCGAAGCCAGAGTAATCGAACCGTCGGTCAGCCCCTGGGGTTTCCCAGTCGTCGTTGTTTACAGGAACAGCAAAGCTCGGTTGGCAGTGGACTACCGGAAGCTTAATGCGAACACCATTCCGGATGAGTTCCCCATTCCCAGACAGTCAGAGATCATTCAAGCCTTATCGGGTTCTCAAGTCTTATCTTCATTCGACGCCCTGGCGGGGTTCACTCAGCTGGAGATCCAGGAGGAGGAGCGTGAGAAGACTGCTTTTAGGTGTCATTTAGGTCTATGGCAGTTTCGTAGAATGCCCTTTGGTCTGCGAAATGGTCCCTCAATTTTCCAACGATTAATGCAGGGTATCCTCACACCTTACCTATGGCTTTTCACGCTGGTCTACATCGATGACATCGTTGTATTCTCGAAGTCATGGGAGGAACACCTGGGCCACCTAGACTTGGTCTTGGGCGCTATTGCAAAAGCCGGAGTAACGCTGTCACCTTCCAAGTGCTTTATCGGCTATTTGTCCATACTCCTCTTAGGACAAAAGGTCTTGAGGCTCGGACTGTCAACGCATAGAGAAAAAGTCCAGGCTATCTTAGAGCTGGAGCGTCCGACATCCGTAGCGGATTTACAGAAATTTCTAGGAATGGTGGTATACTTCTCGCAATATATTCCTTATTATTCATTTATCACGGCGCCTTTATTTGTGTTATTAAAAAAGGGAGTGAAATGGAGATGGGAGGCGGAACACGAGATAGCGTTCCAAGAAGCGAAGGAAGCGTTAGCAAAAGCACCCGTACTAGGGCACCCAGTTCAGGGATCCCCTTCTCGCTTGTATACAGACGCATTGGACGTGGCCTTAGGCGCTTGCTTGCAACAAGTCCAAACTATCGCCGTTGGTGATTTGAAAGGTTCACCAGTGTATGATCGATTAGCGAAAGCTTGGGAAGCTGGGGCATCAATCCCGAATCTCATCCGCTCTCTGACTGCCGAGGTTGAGGAAGGAGGCCCGAGTACGGAATGGGGGGCCACGTTAGATGAGACTATAGTAAAGGTGGAGAGAGTCATAGCATATTGGAGTAGGTCTTTGAAATCGGCGGAAAGGAATTACAGTACTATGGAGAGGGAGGCATTAGGAGCGAAGGAGGCTTTGGTGAAATTCCAACCATTCATCGAGGGAGAAACGGTCATTCTCATTACAGACCATGCCGCTCTCCAGTGGGCAAGGGTGTACGAGAACGCGAACAGGAGACTGGTAGCGTGGGGGGCGGTGTTCACAGCATATCCAGGGCTCAGGATTATACACAGGCCTGGACGCATACATTCCAACGTGGATCCTCTATCCAGGCTGCCAAGAGTACCGCAGCACAGTTCTCCTGTTAGAGATGACCTATTGTCTATCAGCGCTGATGAGGAAAAGTGACAGGCAGCCCAGGAAGCAGAAGATAAAACTGGTAAATCAGCAGCCCGGAAAGCAGCCTTCACGGTATGGTGGTGGGAAGACATGCTAGAGACACATGCCTTCGTAGCACAATCGAGGGCGGAAGCCACTGCTCAACTGCCGAAAGCTTTTCCACAGGCCGACGAGTGGTCATATCCAACTGATGCTCATTTAGGAGGAGAAGAGGATTGGGAGAATAGAGCTCACCTACTAGTCGCCTTAAGCCCAGAAGTTATAGGCAATTTCGTCAAAGGATATGAAGAGGATCCTTTTTTCAGACAATATTACGCCGATGAAATTCCTAATCCCAAGATTGCTATCACCCCTTCCCACTTTCACAAAGGATCCAACGGATTGCTTTATTTCATCGACGCTCGATGGGAGACTAGGCTATGTGTACCCCGTTCACAAATACAGTTCGTATTAGAATGGATACACGAGTCACCTCACGAAGCGGCTCATAGTGGGTACATCAAGACGCTAGAGAGGGTCCGTGAGTTATTCTTCTGGAAGGGTATGAATCGCAATATGGAAAGGTTTTGCGAGACATGCGATATTTGTCAGAAGACCAAAGTCGACAGAACCAAGAAGATGGGAGCATTATGCCCAGCACATGTACCTTCACGTCCCTTTGAAACGGTCTCCTTAGACCTTATTACTGGATTGCCACCATCAGGCGAGGAGAAATACACAGCCGTCCTGGTTATAGTGGATAAGTTAATGAAATTTGGCCTCTTCATACCCACCCACGACACCCTTACTCAAGAAGGTTTTGCTAAACTATTTGTCGAGCGCGTCGTGCACGTATACGGCATGCCGCACAGGATCGACTGGTAGCTACCACTTACATCATGTACTCCTGAGCTGTACCATAGAAGTTCCTGCTTAGCTACCGTGAATGAAATGAAATGAATTTTCATTCATTCACGGCACCTGTTTCATTCTAGATAATTTATTCTGTTTCATTCATTCCTGGCGACTGTTTCATTTTTTTCTTTCATTCCACCAGGGCAACTGTTTCATTCCTTGCTTCATTCTTCTCAGGTGCCTATTTCATTGTTAGAGCTGGGAAAATGATTATGTAATTGATACAAAATATTTAAGTGCCTTATTTGGCAACAGCATGCCTATCTCATTGTGTATTTGAGCCTCAAATGCAAAAGTACCCCCATATGGCCTCCCACACCACTGCAGTAGGGCACAACACATATCAGGCATAATTGTATATTATTTCCTTATTTAGATGTGTGTTAAAACATCGAAATTGTTGCCTGAAAGAATGAAACAAAAATGAAATAACTGCCTGGAAAGAATGAAATGAAAATTCCATGGCAATGAATGAATGAAAAAAATGAAACAGTTGCCAGGAATGAATGAAACGAAAGAATAAAGCAAAAAATGAAACAGTTGCCATGGTGGAATGAATTTAAAAAATGAAAGAGTCGCCAGGCATGAATGAAACAGAATAAATTTCATTCTTGTCAGTAGAAATGAAGAAAAAATTGAGATGAAATGAAATGAAACAAAAAGTATTTCATTCTCGACGGCAATGAATGAGAATGACTTGGAATGAAACAGGTGCCGTGAATGAATGAAATTTCATTTCATTTCATTCACGGTAGTTAAGCAGGAACTTCTATGGTACATGCCAGGTTTTACATGATGTAAATGGCAGCTACTAGTGCAGGATCATCACAGATCGAGATAAGCGATGGGCCACAGGTTTTTGGAAGACAGTAGTAGCTCTGCATGGTTCCAAGATGGCTCTATCATCTTCGCATCATCCCCAAACTGATGGGCAGACAGAGATCTTGAATGCCACCATAGAACAGATGCTAAGAGCATATGTCTCCAGAGACCGTAGTTCCTGGGCTGCTTGGTTGTCCATCTTAGCATTCGCGTACAACTCAACCAAACATTCTTCCACACAAGACGTGCCAAACGGCTTATTATTCAACTATCTTCCGAAAGTTTCGACTGGGGAGATCCAAACGAAGCAATGGTCACAAGAGGAAGGGTTTCACCCTAGCGATCAAGGGGAGGAATACATAAAAGCTATCAACCTACGGTGAGAACAAGCTCGGGATGCCCTCGTAATCGCTCAAGAACGGCAAGCTAAGGCATTCAACAAGAATAGACGTCCTGTAGAAGAAATAAAGCCGGGTGACCAAGTACTAGTGAATCCGCACACCTTGAAATTAGTGGAAGTGCAAGGCACAGGACGAAAGTTAGTGCAGAGAATGATAGGGCCCTTTGAAGTTATGGAGCGAATCAACCCGAACGTGTATCGACTCAGACTGCCCGACTCTTACCCGATGCATCCAGTAATCAACATAGATCACCTAAAAAAGTACAAATCATCCCCCTCGGACTTCGAAGATCGGACAACTCTGCCACCCACTCGAGATTTCCTACCAACCGAGGAGTATGAGGTCGAAGCTATCATAGGTCATAAGTCAACGGGCCGAAAGAAGGGCAACAGAAGAATGTTCAGAGTTAGATGGGTAGGATACGGTCCAGAATCGGATTCTTGGGTTTCTGAAGCCGATTTACGCAATTCTCCGGAGCTTAAAAGAGAATACTTGGCTAAATTGGGACTAGACTAAGTTATACATGGCCCTGTTCCCCAAAGAATTTTTAGAGTAAAAATTCAAACACCGCTGGGAATTTATAGGGAACTGTAAGAAGGAGAAGTGCTCTTCATTCCCCAATACTCTAACAAAGCGTTCAAACCCACACTGTCCTTACTACCCAATAATCCTGGCCCCCCCAACTTCCTTCATCATGTCTAAACCTCCTACCTTCCCTCCCCCAGTTCATGTCCAGAATCCATCCTCATGCCCTAATCCTTTGTGCAACATCAGAGCATCCCATGAATTCCATCATCTCATCCCTATACCAGCCATTCCTGTAGGCGTTCAACAGCTGAAGATAGCCCGGTTCCCACATCCTAGCCCTTTTCCTATGGTGAATTGTTGGAAGCTAGTATCCCCAGCTGCATTTGATCCGGAGGAGGAATCGTGGGCATACTTGTCAGATGGTTATGGCACGGTCGGATTGATGAAGACGCCTATTGAAAGGGAAGGATGGGTGCTTTATGACGCAGTAAGGGAAGGAACGTTAATTACTCGAGTGGCTTTTCCAAAGAAGAGGCGTTGGTGTTGGAAATGGTGGTGAAGGGAGGAAGAGAGTGCAGGGTGTCCCAAATCACCCTTTATATGCTTCAAGTCTTCACACGAGAAGTTCCTTTCTGCGGCCTTTACGTTCTATTCATAGGTGGAGAAGGAAAGCTCGCTTCTAAGTAAATAATTATATAATTCGCATAATTACGTATTGGGCAGGAACGGTGGGAAATCGAAAGTCCTCCTCTCCCCTCGATGAGAAGCATCGATTGACTGGAAATAAGAAGATCGCTACTCCGCTTGATCCGATACCCTCCTGCGTTACCTCTACCTGCTCGGACTCACTTACGAAGCCAATCTACTGACTTTCCAGCATGGAAGTACCGCAGTTTACACATACCAAGACTCCAGAGGGTCACGACTTGCGACAATACGAATCTAGACGAAGAAAGAGTTGCTTTGGCTACTTTGAGCCCCCAGTGGTAGATGATTCCCTATCATTCCTACTGCCTCCCTTTTCCCAGGTCCACAGTCGCATAGTCATGATGAAGGGAAAGATGTGGGAGTTGTGGTCTCCGAATTCGTTGGTCGACGTGTTCTACCCCGGCATATGAGCTCCAGGGTATATCGCTGCTATGGAAGCAGACTGCGCAAGAAGGCGATTCGACGGACACCTAGGTTGTTTCAATCCAACGAAATCACCCCAACACTATGATCCTCGGAAACCGTGGTTGAATTTCATACAGAGGAATAAGACAGCCTCCTCAAGGATCGAGTACATTCCGCTATGGACTGCCTGGGTTAGTCTAGCACCAAAGGGAAGGACTATGGATGGGGACAATTAGATGCCGCGTATTTGCTTCACCTCACTAATCGGAATATTGAGTTGGACGCGACAATGTCCAGTTTAAGCGCTGTGGCCGCCATTAAACTGGATTACTGGGATGGTCGACCAGTACTGCCCACCGACAATGACTTTCAGGAGTTGAGAGGGGAGGTACACTTTGCGGACACTGTCGATAAGGTGGCTTTGATCCAAGCCAGGTTGAAGTTGAAGGATGCGTGGATTTGGACAATGAACATCGTTATTCATGAGGGGAGTGAAGCGGTTTCAGAGCAGTGGTTATCGGAAGTACCGTTTGCAGCCGATAATGTGATGGGAGCCTGGATAAACGGAGCAAAGGAGAACAAAGTTTATTGGCTCCTGAAACACAAAATTCCGTGCTTCATCATCCATGAAGTCCCAACGCGCGACATGTACCTTCATTTTGAAGATCACAAGAATCCGGACTTCGTAGCTCAGACAGATGCCCAGTATTTGGTGCAAGAGCATAACGGCTTCGACAACCTGGCTTACAGACATAAGGCTTTAATCAACGCTATAGCAGGTCAAGAAGGGTTACCTCGAGCATTGCCAGACTTGTCAGAGGAGGAGCGGTCGGGGTCGGATCCGCGAAATCAAGGATGGGATGGAGTCAAGCATAGACTGCTGGAAGAGACACCAGAGGTAGTGATGAAGCAGTGTCGACCCCCAGCCTCGGACCGTTCAAATCCGTCAACACAGCTACCGCCGAAGTCCAGCTCAATTGCGAGTATCCCAGATCCAGAAGTCCGTTCGCTGGCTCGAGAACAAGTGGAATGGATAGTGCCCCCACCAGTAATGGCTGTCACTCCAGGACGATGGACGTTTTGGAAAGAAGAGGATCTAGATAGGAACACCTCATGTTTCTGCCCAGTATCTTCGAGGCCAGAAGACTGCGAACAAGTGTATTACGACCGCGTTAAAAGAAGGGAACTATTCACCATTGAAAACCTCGAGGTACTCCCTGGCGCAATTTCAGATGTGAAATTATTCGGTTTTCCTGCGCCAGAGGCCCGATTCGTGGAATTGAAGGAGGGAAACGAAGGTCCTGTAATCATAAATGAGTATGACGTGTCTCATTGGTTGTATTTGAGTGCCAACGCGAAGAAGGGCACAGTAGGTCAAAGAGCATCTACCCCACCTCCTACGGCTTTGCCCTTACGATCTACTCTCCTCAAAAGCGGCAATAATGCACCGTCTCAAACCACAAAATCCACTCCACCACGGCCTGCTCCTTCCCCTCCCCAGTCCCTTGCTGCTCCAATGAACATAGCTCCTCCCCAGAAGCCCGTCCCTACGGAACCTCGCGCTCATCGCCAACGGATCAGCCCGATTCCTTCAGAGTCCACAGTACTAAGCGGGGAAAGTGCATTAGGTCGTAGGCCTCGAGCTCTCACTCTGGAAGGGGAAGATTGAACTAGGACTGAAGACATTTCGCAACTTAAGAAAGCGAGGAGTATCGGGCCCCATCCTGATTTGGCCAAAGGCTTACCAGTACCCGCTACTCCATTACCTCCATCTTCATCGTCCGCACTCACTTCATCTGGGACTCCGTTACCAAACACGTCGTCGTCCGCGAGCGTTAGTGTGAACACTCTTACAAACCATTCCGCCGACTCTCGTTTCTTATGTTTTGAGGGACTGCCTTTCGAATGGGAGGAGTGTCTTGCGTGGTTTTATGGGATGGCTGTTTCGTCTCACTTTGTTTGGATCAACCAGATATACAGGACGGTTTCTGATTCTCGCCCCCTTATTTGGTTGGATATGAAATCTAACGAAGACACTTGTATGATGCGGGGCTTCTTAACTCATCAAACCACGGAAAGGGACGAGAACGCGTTAGTAATCAGTCATTTCGTCTCAGAAGCCACTTTCGAGGAAGCTGTACAATGCCACACCCATAAGTGGGAACGACCCCCCGCTGCACCTCAGACGATAGTGGATGATCCCATGGAAGGGCCCTCACAGCCAGCTCCCTTGGAAATGTGGCTCACCTCTCTGGCACGATTGTCCCCGGCGCCCGACGTTACTCTTCTACATCGAGCTGGGGTCACACTGGAAGAGTGCGTGGAAGGAACGCAACGTCCGTGTCGGGCAGGAAAGAAACATCGTAAATTGAAAGCTAAATACCAATCGAACCCGTAGCTGAGTCTTGTGATGTGGGGGGCTTTGTGAGGAATACCTTGGACATCACGCAACGCAGCCTTACACATGTATATAGTTGTTTACTTCGTCTGTACATAACGCGGGAACCCTATACTAGGGTTCTCTATCATCTTGCCATTATACTATTATGTCTATCGACTGACCCTTGCATCATGCGAGCCCTCGAGCTTGCCACCTTCATCAACATGTCAAGCCGGCTGAGCATCCTGTCATCTGCTCATTCACACGGAGTAAGCGCTGACACACTGTCAGCCATCCTCGTCCTCTCTCCTCGACTTCACTCACAAGAAGTCTCCGAACACGGTTTCACACGACTTCATTGCACTTTCATTAAAACCTAAGGCTCTTTCATTATTAGTGTATGGGTTATTTCATTACTGATCTCATTGGCAATTTCATTTAGATATCCAACACTTTCATTGCACTTTCATTGGATATTTCCTTAATATTTCATGTGATTTCATTATGCTTTTCATAACTAATGCCCTGCGCTTTCAATAGATATTTCATTAGAAATGTTGGGGCCACTCATTGCGATTTTTCATTAATAATTCAGGCAATTTCATAACTAATGCCCTGTGCTTTCAATAGATATTTCATTAGAAATGTTGGGACCCCTCATTGCGATTTTTCATTAATAATTCAGGCAATTTCATAACTAATGCCCTGTGCTTTCAATAGCTATTTGGTTAGAAATGTTGGGGCCTCTCATTGCGATTTTTCATTAATAATTCAGGTGATTTCATTGCGCTTTTCATAACTAATACCTTGCACTTTCAATAGATATTTCATTCTTATCCCCAGAATATTTCATTGCACATTTCATATGGATCTCTGGTACTTTCATTTTACCTGTCAGGGTCCATCCAATCAGATGTTGGCATGATGGTCACATGACCTATTACCCAAAATGGTTAAAAACAAAAGTTGAAGCCCTGCACTGTAGCTTCCAGAATCTGTTTGAATTATGTCCTAGAGTGCTCCCATTGTGAAGATATGAGGTTAGAGATTTTTTACACTACTGGCTTTTTTTTTTGTTTTTTGTATTTTTCTCCATGAAAACAACACCAAACAATGAGATTTCAACACATTTAGAGAGCTATGAGAAGGGGCTACAATTATTGTATTGTGGGAAATTTGACCAAAAAAGGAAGGTGCATACCCAAAAACAGAAATTGACACTGACAGACTACAAAATATTTCTGGTAGACTCCTAAAGTCAGACATAGACTATAAAGTTTACTAATAGACCACAAAAGACTACAACAATTGGATACAGACTATATAGAAAAGTTTGTAGTGTTACCTTTTTGGACAAGAAAAGTTAGTTGTGTCTGCTTTTTTTCATTACAAAAGTTAGTAGTGTCCGCTTTTTTAAACTACAAATGTTTGTAATGTCCACTTTTTCAGACTACACAATTTAGTAGTGTCCGCTTTTTCAGACTACAAAAGTCAGTAGTGTCCACTTTTCCATTATAACAGTCAGTAGTGTCCACTTTTTTCATTACAACACTTTGTAGTGTCCACTTTTTTAGACTACAAAAGTTTGTAGACTGCTTTTCTAAAATATAATTTGTAGTGTCCTTGACTGTGCATGGATTTTACCATTACTGCATCATTGGTTTTGACATCATGCCCAAGGTTGCCTTTCATCTCTTTTTATATGAGAACCCACAATCCCATCTCTGATATCAGTCAACCTTCTATCCATATGAGCAGCCAATGTTTTATGTCTGACTATAGACATCCTTGACTATCATTTCAAAGGTATAAATTCTCTGTCACAGCCTATCCTGTCTTTAAATATCATGATTAGCTGTCACTTTTTAAGCCCTCATCACAGTAAGTATCACAGGTAGCAAGAGTTAATGATAGAGGGCAGTCTGGTCTTCTCTTTGACAATCTTCATCCAGGATTCAGGTTGAAGACAAGGTGGAACATGGTTGACCTTTTCTATCATGACCTGACTTTGGTGTGAAATGTGATAAAATCTACAAGGACCACTCAACTTATCATCCATCCAGTATTGTAACTCACTTCAACGTTGACTATCATTACAGCTAGGATGGTAGCTAGTAATATGAAAATACAGTACAGCCTCCATTGATGTGAAAAACAGACAAACTTGGGCATGATATCAAAACCAATGAGGTAGTAATGGAAGAACTGTACAAACTATATATCAGAAAAGCAGTAGACAAACTTTTGTAGCCTAAAAAAGCAGACATTACTAACTTTTGTACTGAAAAAAGCGGACACTACTAACTTCTGTAGGTAGCCCCTTCTCATAGCTCTCTAAATGTGTTGAAATCTCATTGTTTGGTGTTGTTTTCATGGAGAAAAACACAAAAAAACAAAAAAAAAGCCAGCAGTGTAAAAAATCTCTAACCTCATATCTTCACAACGGGAGCACTCTAGGACATAATTCAAACAGATTCTGGAAGCTACAGTGCAGGGCTTCAACTTTTGTTTTTAACCATTTTGGGTAATAGGTCATGTGACCATCATGCCAACATCTGATTGGATGGACCCTGACAGGTAAAATGAAAGCACCAGAGATCCATATGAAATGTGCAATGAAATATTCTGGGGATAAGAATGAAATATCTATTGAAAGCACAAGGTATTAGTTATGAAAAGCGCAATGAAATCACCTGAATTATTAATGAAAAATTGCAATGAGAGGCCCCAACATTTCTAACCAAATAGCTATTGAAAGCACAGGGCATTAGTTATGAAATTGCCTGAATTATTAATGAAAAATCGCAATGAGAGGCCCCAACATTTCTAATGAAATATCTATTGAAAGCGCAGGGCATTAGTTATGAAAAGCATAATGAAATCACATGAAATATTAAGGAAATATCCAATGAAAGTGCAATGAAAGTGTTGGATATCTAAATGAAATTGCCAATGAGATCAGTAATGAAATAACCCATACACTAATAATGAAAGAGCCTTAGGTTTTAATGAAAGTGCAATGAAGTCGCCATGGAAGGGTTATGAAATTGACAATGAAATCAGCAGGAAGACTTATGAAATATATCTCAAAACTTCCCCATAGTTTATGAAAAGTTCTGACAATTATATGAATGAAATAGATAGGACATCCTAATGAGATGCCTCTCATAAACCTTGTGACAGTTCCTTTGAGATGACCATTGGCATTGCCATTGTTTTATCATAAATATTGGTTCCCACTGGTGACAGAAAGCGGAATAATCTCTCCCTGGGGTTCCATCACACGAACGTAAGAAATGGCAGAAGTTTGTCAAGCAGTACCATCCAGAGAACACCTTCCTTGAAACTTCCCCCAAAAAGAACCTGGACTACATGACATATACCAGGTTTGATAGAGAGCGACGATGGCAGATTTTATTCTTGAACCACCTAAAGCTCCCCCCCGGCTGTGTTTCGGACATTGATATTTTTGGCCAGCCATGTCCCGACAGAACCTACAAGGACATGGCTCAGAAACGAAAACAAGTACGACGTCCTGCTTGGATTTACAACTGAATGGATCCCAAGACCGACGACATAAGGAAGGAAGCTCCTGTCCCCAGACCAGAGGACCTTCCCCTCATTCGAGGACCTCCTCTTCCCGTGCCTGGCAACAATGGCGATGATGACAATGACAATGACTGGTACTACCCTGATCTTGACTTCGGTGCTCCTCAGGTGAATGATACCGGTGACACAACTGAACAGCTACCTAAGAGCGCGACTACCCTGCCCGCTGCTCCAGTAGTAGAATCTAGGACCACAGCCATTGGCACGACAATGAATTCTACTATTGAAAGGATGGACGCGAGTCCTCATACTGTTCAACCTCCTGTAGAACCACTGAAACCAAGACGTTCTGATGATGAAGTTTCTTTAGGAGCTGAAGATTCTACCGCAGAAGCTATGGGACCACAAATTGCAGTTGACACTCCTGTCATGGATGCTGTAATGGATGAAAGAGAAGCGGTCATAGAGGACCCATTAGAATTTGCAACTTCTTGCCTTATGATTTACGGTGTGCCGTTAGCTGAAGGTTTCGAGTCCATGCAGACTAGGGTCTCGAGCATTGCCACCCAACTCCACCTGTACGTGCGGCGAATTTTCAGGACAAGCTCTGAGCGAACTCAAAGCTTCTGGCTGGAAGTGGAGTCGGTTGATCAAGTGTGACAACTTCGCAATTTCATGCACCATCGTCATGAGAATGGGGTGGAATTGCTACTTTCATTCGCTAACTATGAAGACTATGTGGGAGCTCTAGCTCGGGCAACTCATTCATGGCCTACACCATTGAGTTTAACCCCTAGTCAGAATCTTGACCCTACAGTGGCTCAGCTTCCTGCCGCCAGCTCTTCCGCTACAACCAGTCAACTACATTGCTGTTCTCGAGATCGAAGGACTTCTCATTCTACAGAGCGCATCTGCTACGACAGGTGTCCTCTTTCCTGTTCCTGTTATTGTTCACCAGCACAACCCGTGAACTCCCGTTGAAGATATCAATGCTCTCCATCCCCATATTACAGACAACACTCTCCATCCCCGTATTACAGACCACAGTCTCCTCATAGGCGTTCAATCTCCCCTCCGAGGTGTTGTCGTCATGTGTCCCATTCCCACTCCCCTTTTTACAATCGAACCTCTGTAGCGAACGTCAGCACCCAGTATCCTCAGCAGAGTAGGAATATGGACCAAGACTTCTCTGTCCCTGTAGTCCCCAGTGCTCCGGCAGCCTTGAACCTACCACATGGCGCCCTGCTGCCCTTCGGCGCAAACATTGCCTTCATGTGGTCCCCATCAGGGAACACACTGAGTCCCGTATTACTACAAGGTAACGGTACAGTCCTGCCCTACCAGATGCCCCTCTCTGGACCTACTCCAAGTGCGCTCCTGCCCTGGCCAGTTGCTGCGGCCTTACCTGTGTCAAGTACTGACCCTGCCCCCTCCATTCCTGAGCCAATCATGTCTGCCTCCACTGCAATCTCAGATGAGTGCAGCCTGCCCTCATGTCCAGAATGTCCAACAGTCTCGCTGCTAGAATGCGCAATCCAGTTCCATCTATTCCCCTATCATCTCGTCTTTTGGATCTGCATGATTTATCCTCTCGACTATCCGACACCCCTAGGGTTTCACTAGCCGATAGATTAGAGGTCGCCGGATCCATGGACATGGAACTCCCTTCGTTTTTTGTTCCCATGACAGTGGATGATCCACATTTGGCGGCTGTCAGTGACATGATGGCAAACGCCGGACCATTAGTGTTGGACCCAGTGCAGTATGACAACCCTTGGAGGCCTGGTGACCCTGTTGATGAGGAAGAAGTGGAAGACAAATCCATGGAGGAAGTCACATGGAAAAAGACTAAACAAGGAAGGCGATCAGGGCAGAAGATCCAAGACATTTGATGGAGGGATGAAGAAAGGGAGGAACACAGGAGGTGTAAGCAAAGGCAGTTCTGAAGCTCGTCTCCAAAGTTTTCGACGATGCTCCACTCTCATGGGGGGGCTTTGTAATGGCGTATGGGTACCCTCACCTCTTGCATGATAATTGAAGCATCATATTTACCTTTGTTTGTTACATATTATATAATGTCATGTACACGTTGTAGCACCTTACCTTTTTGCCACTACATCTATATAATATGTGGATCAGGTCATGGTTATGGACGACGGCTAGGCAGCCTTATGCCTCCCCTCTGGGATACCAGAGCCCGGCGTCGGGTGACAGCACCCCCGATCCGGGGTCACAGGATGACTTAGGCACTCTTCCGTCATGCGGAACAACGCCACCAACTCTATTCTCAATCGAGCCTTCTAACTCTGCCTCTTGCTCCGTACACTTGTGGACTCCTCAAGAAGTCCAGGATGACACTGCAGTTTCACACTTCCCCCTAAGTGATGAACTTTCGCCTCATAAGTAGCTGAAGTTGTTGAAAGTCTTGAGGTTTGTATTGAGCTCTCTGTCATTGAGAGTTGAACAGGGTATAGCTGGGGAACTTCTAGATTTCGAAGTTACAGGGATTTTTGGTTGAGAATTGGTAGTGTTTGAAAGTCCGGTTCGGTCCAGTTTTTTGATGCCCAGGGGCGTTAACCATAACCGTAACCGGTCTGCCTTTTCCCCAGAAGTCAAAAGACCAGACCGGTTTCGGTCTGCATCAGTTTTAACCGGTTTATGACCGGTCGTTAGGCCAATATTTTAAAATTATGAATCGGTAAATTTATTAGCATCTCTAATAGCTTCAAAACGAGCCCAAGAACGTTAAATTCCGTTAGGAATTGGTGCTTCTATAAAATAAGTCTGGTACATCTATTATTCCCAAAAGTAATTTACATTTTAATTCATATCTCTCTCGTTTTTTTACCAAATCGTATGTGCTTGGGTGCGTTTTAAAGGGTATTTAAGGGGCTACAAAAGACCGGTTCACGTTAATGGGTTTTTTTGCGGTCTTTACATTTCAAAAATAAAAGACCGTAACCGCAGGTCCGGTCTTTTGCAGTCTTGGTCCGGTCTGGTTACGGTCTTTTTCCAGTCACGAGACCGGACTTCCAAACACTAAGAATTGGACAGAGTCCTAGTTGATTTGTCAGGGGAGGAAGATCATGAGTGATCTGAAACAAAGGGTTGACTTAGCGAAGAAGGGGGAGCACCCCTAGTAGGTCTCTGATGCCTAGATTCTTTGGATCAGCCTCCTTCTTTCACTACCACTCTAAGCTCCTCTTCTGTAGATAAAACTAAGCCGGCCAGGCTGTCATTGGATCCCACAGTGTCCACCTTTTGTGGGAACCTGTTTGAGGGACTACCTCAGATTAAGTAGTCTGTGTAGCAACAACGGAGTAATCTGGTGAGCTTTGATGGAGAGGTTGCCACATTGGTGTGAAGACCTCCTAGGGAAGGTGTACTTTACACTCCCCCACATAGTCCAGTTGGACTCCAGATGGACTCTGGCAGACTCCAGCTGGATATCCAGAGTCCATCTGGAGTCCAACTATCATACAACCAAATGTCTATATTTCTGGATCATCCAGGTGGAGTCTATCTGGAGTCTGTATACTCTGTCTGGACTCCACCAGACTTAGACCTTAAGTTGATAATTGAGGTACTTAGATTTCATGAGACAAAGAAAATTGAAGTGTATTAGCAACTACATAAGTTGATTTTACTACATTCTATGTTACAGAGAGGGGGAAAGGAGTGGGGGGGGGTGGGAGTGGTGATCAGGAATGGAGGGAGGGGGTAGAGAGGAATGGAGGGGGAGAGAAAGGAAGGGAGAGGGAGAGAGGAATGGAGGGGGGAGGGAAAGGGAGAAGGGAAAGAGGAATAGAGGGAGGGGGTAGAGAGGATTGGAGGGGGACAGAGGAATGGTGGGGGAGGGAAAGGGAGAAGGGAGTGGAATGGAGGGAGAGTGGAAAGAAGGGAGAGGGGGGAGAGAGAGGAATGGAGTGGGGAGAGAGGAATGGAAGGGGGGGGGAGTAGTGAGCAGCATGGGAGGGGGTGGTGAGTCATGGAGGGAGGGAGGAGTGGTGGTGCTTGGCCCTCGTCGCGTCCCGCGTGGGCGTTGTATTGTCGTCCCAGGGCGGCCGTTCATCGTCGTCGCGTGTCGCCGTTGTCACGGTCGCAGTTGCGTGTTGCCGTTGTCGCGTGTCGTCGTCGTCGTCGTCGTCGTCGTCGTCGCGTGTCGTCGTCGTCGCGTGCCGTCGTTGTCGCATGTCGTGGTTGTGGTCGTTTTCCCGTGTCGTAGTCCTCGCGTGTCATCGTCCTCACGTGTCGTCGTCCTCACGTGTCGTCGTCGTCGTGTGTCGTCGGCGTCGCGTGTCGTCGTTGTCGTCGTTGTCGCATGTCGTGTCGTTGTCGTCGCGTGTCGTCGGCGTCGCGTGTCGTTGACACGTCATCGTGTCGTGGGTGGTGCTTGTCGTCAGCCTCGGTGGTGGTTGTGGGCTGTTGTTGGGGTGTGGTGTTGTTGCGTGGGGTTGCTGTTGTCGTGAGGTTGGTTTGGGCGAGGTACGGTGGTTGGGTGTGTCGAACGAGGTTGGAGATGGTGGGAAGGTGGTGGTGGGAAGACAAAAGACAACGACGCGGCAACAAAGCCAACGTGCTTTCGGAACGTGCCGGGAGCGAGGGTATATGATGTGTAAAAGTTATAGAGGTAATAAAGCCATCGTGGTGTAGTGGTTTATTGCGGCAGTTACAGCTGCCCAAGTGATTGAGTGTTCAATTCCCGGTCATGGCATTCTTTTTTTCTGGTCTAATAATAATAACAATAATAAATAAACAGAAATTGTAAACTCTTTCTGGACTCCATATGGAGTCTGGCTGGTTGACTGTGTTATGAGGTGGAGTCCATGCAGTCCAAATGGTGGACCTGGACTCCAGTTGGAGTCCAGGTGGATCCTAGACTAACATTTGGCTGGGTTGCCACCAGAGAAAAAATCTGGATGAACAGCAGTAATCCATCTGGAGTCCGCCAGAGTCCATCTGGAGTCCAACTGGAATATGTGGAGGAGTGTAAAGTCCTCTAGGGAAGTCTAACTGGAGTCTTAGGAGTCAATAATGATACGCAAGTAGCTACTGATGCCCTGGAAAGCCACGAGCATAGATGTACTCTTCCCTCTTGGATAGCCGCAGAAGGATGTAAAGTATCTTCTGCAGAAGACGGAGAGGGAAAAAGAAGAGTTCAGCTTCAGGAGAGTCACAAGCTCTCCACAGTAATTCACTATGCAACATTGACCTTGATACAATATCCCTGTAGTGCGTGAAGTCGAGTCATGAGGACGATGCTCAATGTAGCAAGTGGAAACAGAAATGATAGTTAGATCGTACAAGCATGACTAGGGGATTTGTGACTACTGTGACTGCATGACTGTGAAAGTAAGATTGGAAATATCCTAAGTAAGAGTAGTAGAAGGGTTTGACCAATACCTGCCCATTACAATCTTATTCTCTGCTTCATGCAGGAAAAAGTGGAAAATGAGGTTTTGACAGCTCCACAAATATGTCATGTGAGGGTCTGAAAAAATATGAAGAATTAAGTATAGTGTTTACAGGTCCGGTCCATAGGACCGAAAAAAACCAGTGGACCAGACTGAACCGGACCATGGTCCGGTCTTTTTTTCGGTTGCAGTTACCCCAATTTGGGGTTGGTCTGGTTGCTGGTTGCCTCATTTCAAAAATCTTTCAAAACCGTTCAAAGACCAGTTTAAATCGGTTGCAACCGGTTAAACGGTCATGTGCGTTATATACCCTTGTAACCACGTTTATTACCTTTAATTGGGTTTTTGTTTCATCAAAAACGGTTAAGAACTGAGAACAATATAACCAAATTCATTTTGGCACAAATACTTGTTTGTGCAACTTGTACCAGAATGACTTTAATTCTAACTCACTCAAACTTTCATCATTTTGCTTGATTCAATTTTTGGATATTGACATTTTAAGTATGAAAATATACTCACCATCTATCAATATATGGTATACATCAAATAATTTACAGTTGCCACATTACATTTTGCCCAAGTCTTTATGAGATGTAATTCGGTTTCAGTCATAACTATGTCAAGTGTTCATTAAATTTCTTAAAAATTGGTAAAATAATGGGTATTTATATGTTTTACTATGATATATAACCAGTTTATTTTTTAGAGTAATAATAATTGAGATACAAATGGTTTATATTGGTATGATAAATTTTATGCAAAAAGACCGGTCTGAATCAGTTTGAACATGGTCCATGGACTGCAAAAGACCGGTCCTAGGTGGTTCGGTTCGGTTCCCTCAATATCTGGGTCGGTCCTAGACTGGTTGCGGTCCACGGTTGCCTGTTTTCAGGGCAAAAAACCGGACTGAACCGGACCTGCGAACACTAATTAAGTACTACCCTACTCAGTATCAGAACTTTGAATCATTTCAATTGGAGTAGCAGTTGTTTAAATATAGGTGTAAGGAAGGGGCTTGTTTTGGGTAGATCAAAAATGAGGTTTTGAGAGTTGTACAGATACTTCATGTGAGAGTTGGAAGGATATATAGTACTAGCCTAGTCAAGTATACAGAATCTTGAATCATTTCAATTGGAGCAGTGGTTG